GTGCGCGAGGGAGCTGAAGAGGAAGCACACAGAGAGTGCTCCCTCGCGCGCTGGCCGTCTTTCAGGGCCAGCCTCTGGGGGGCCCTGAGGTGACCGGCTGCTGGGCCCCCCAGGAGAAGAGGCTGGCCCTGTGGGTACATACCGGGGTCGCAGGACCCGTTGCGGTTGTCATGCCCTGATGGCGGCCCTGGGTCCATTATTACAGAGTTGCAGTAGTCCAGTTAGGAGAAAATTACAGCACACAGATGGGTTTTTATCTGCAAGAGTGAGACTGTAATACATGGCATGTTACAATATTATCAGGGCTACTTATTAAAGTGAGAATTGTCAGTAATTCAAAGTGAATTTTATATTTAAAGGGACACTCACACCCCCTAACAAACTTTACCTTGCTGAAATGCTTTATGTGTCAAGAGTGTGTCCTCTTCTAAATTAAGCTGGGTACACCTCCTTGCTGTCAATCAGATAACCGATCCTGTTACTTCCTGGTTTGGTTAGCTCAGTGGAGCTAAATTCAAGAGGAAGCAATTACCCAGAGCACCTGCCGTGCAAAGACTTCTCATTGAGCTGCATTGGGGAGTCTGTGATTGGACAGCCACAGAAAGTCTGGGCGGGGTTAGAAGGGGAGGACTAACAGACTGCAGACAAGAGATCTAAAGCTTTTACAAGATGTTTTAGAATCTCTGACAAATATGAATCAGTCGCAAACAACGTGTAAAAAAAGAACAGCACCTACCAACAGGGTCCACAAATACCCTGTTCCATCTCAACACTTTTATTGAAATGTTGCACTTTGATTCACTTTTGTATATTATTGTTATGGTAATTATATCAGGTGAGTGGTCATGTGATTGATCATGTGACTTTTTGTTATTTATGTGAGTCCCCCTCTTATTTCCTGTTTTTAGGGTATTATTTATTGCATTCACTGTGTGTTGTACAAACTGATTCACTGAGGAAAAGCTGGAAAAAAATGTTCTTTGTAAACTCTGAATTTAGTGAGTAACTCTGTGTGTATTTTATAAAATGGTTAGCCGGGAAGAAAAAAATTGATTTCTCTAAATATTAAGCATAAACAATACATTTATACAACAGCAAACCTATCATCTTTCTGCTGCTTCTCTTTGTTGATCTCAATAATGGGAAGCGTATTTACACTGAGTCGGCAAAGCACATAATGAATTATAGAGATATCTACAGGGAGTGCAGAATTATTAGGCAAATGAGTATTTTGACCACATCATCCTCTTTATGCATGTTGTCTTACTCCAAGCTGTATAGGCTCGAAAGCCTACTACCAATTAAGCATATTAGGTGATGTGCATCTCTGTAATGAGAAGGGGTGTGGTCTAATGACATCAACACCCTATATCAGGTGTGCATAATTATTAGGCAACTTCCTTTCCTTTGGCAAAATGGGTCAAAAGAAGGACTTGACAGGCTCAGAAAAGTCAAAAATAGTGAGATATCTTGCAGAGGGATGCAGCACTCTTAAAATTGCAAAGCTTCTGAAGCGTGATCATCGAACAATCAAGCGTTTCATTCAAAATAGTCAACAGGGTCGCAAGAAGCGTGTGGAAAAACCAAGGCGCAAAATAACTGCCCATGAACTGAGAAAAGTCAAGCGTGCAGCTGCCACGATGCCACTTGCCACCAGTTTGGCCATATTTCAGAGCTGCAACATCACTGGAGTGCCCAAAAGCACAAGGTGTGCAATACTCAGAGACATGGCCAAGGTAAGAAAGGCTGAAAGACGACCACCACTGAACAAGACACACAAGCTGAAACGTCAAGACTGGGCCAAGAAATATCTCAAGACTGATTTTTCTAAGGTTTTATGGACTGATGAAATGAGAGTGAGTCTTGATGGGCCAGATGGATGGGCCCGTGGCTGGATTGGTAAAGGGCAGAGAGCTCCAGTCCGACTCAGACGCCAGCAAGGTGGAGGTGGAGTACTGGTTTGGGCTGGTATCATCAAAGATGAGCTTGTGGGGCCTTTTCGGGTTGAGGATGGAGTCAAGCTCAACTCCCAGTCCTACTGCCAGTTCCTGGAAGACACCTTCTTCAAGCAGTGGTACAGGAAGAAGTCTGCATCCTTCAAGAAAAACATGATTTTCATGCAGGACAATGCTCCATCACACGCGTCCAAGTACTCCACAGCGTGGCTGGCAAGAAAGGGTATAAAAGAAGAAAATCTAATGACATGGCCTCCTTGTTCACCTGATCTGAACCCCATTGAGAACCTGTGGTCCATCATCAAATGTGAGATTTACAAGGAGGGAAAACAGTACACCTCTCTGAACAGTGTCTGGGAGGCTGTGGTTGCTGCTGCACGCAATGTTGATGGTGAACAGATCAAAACACTGACAGAATCCATGGATGGCAGGCTTTTGAGTGTCCTTGCAAAGAAAGGTGGCTATATTGGTCACTGATTTGTTTTTGTTTTGTTTTTGAATGTCAGAAATGTATATTTGTGAATGATGAGATGTTATATTGGTTTCACTGGTAATAATAAATAATTGAAATGGGTATATATTTGTTTTTTGTTAAGTTGCCTAATAATTATGCACAGTAATAGTCACCTGCACACACAGATATCCCCCTAACATAGCTATAACTAAAAACAAACTAAAAACTACTTCCAAAAATATTCAGCTTTGATATTAATGAGTTTTTTGGGTTCATTGAGAACATGGTTGTTGTTCAATAATAAAATTAATCCTCAAAAATACAACTTGCCTAATAATTCTGCACTCCCTGTAGTGTTTGAGATGAATTTATGGAAATGGTAAAATTTGTGGTATTTAAGGAGTCGTTGTTACGGAATAGAGTGTCCATTGTGAAATAAGGTTTTGGGAAATTAAACAATAACTTCTTCTTGTGCCACAAAGATCACCTGGCTGTATTAATTCACAACTCCCAGTATGCTCAGCCACGAATACTATATTTTCCAAAAGTCTTACTAGAGTGTAATGCCATATTATTTGTTTTTAAAAATGCTGAACTTGTCCAGGAGTGACTAGCATTATTCTGGAACTTCATGTATGTGCTTATATAGGGCTGGTGGTTTTGGGAGTACCAGGTACCCACCCCTCACCCCCTATGCGATGGCCATACCAAGGAAATTCCCACCCCCACCCCACTACTGCGCCTATCCCCCAACTACTGCCTCTAACCCCACTACTGGGGACTTCAATATTCCTATAAACCCACCTTTGACCTCTGCAGCCAATAAACTACTTTCAATTACTTCCTCCCTCGGGCTATCACAGTGGGCAAATTCACCCACCCATGTAGCTGGCAATACCCTTGACCTAATC